CGGAAGTGGCGCTGTAGCTCAAGTGGTAGAGCGCTCGCCTTGAGCTGAAGAGCTGAGGGACAGCGCCCAGGCCCAGAGTTCAAGCCCCACAACCGACCAAAAAAAAAAAAAGTTCAGGGACAGCATCCAGGCCCTGAGTTCAAGCTAGGACAAGCACCAAAATAAATAAATAATAAAAGTAAAGAAAAAGAGGCCAGCTTTTTTCTTCTTATGTCCACATCCCCTAGGCCTGGGAAGTGAATAAAGGAATCAACTGTGTGACCTCTTATCTGGCTGACTGTGAGACCCAGCTGTCCCGGGCTCCGCGGCGGGGTCTGCTCTATGGGGTCCCTGTGAGCCTCAAGGAGTGCTTCCACTACAAGGTATTCCCTGCCCAGTATTGGGCTCCATCCCCCTTCTCGCCTAGCAGCCAGCCCTGTGGCCAGGGTTACTTGGGGCCCTCAGAGAAAAATAGCAGGTCCTGAGTCCTTGAGAGAGGACCAGAGTGGGCCGGAGCTTCTGGCTCCTCTTGATGTCCTTCCCTCCTCCCAGGGTCAGAACTCCACGCTGGGATTGAGCCTGCACGAGGGGGTGCTGGCAGAATGTGACAGCGTGGTGGTGCAGGTGCTGAAGCTGCAGGGCGCCGTGCCCTTTGTGCACACCAATGTCCCCCAGTCTATGTACAGGTTGGTCTTGGCTTGGGCCTCAGCAAGGTGAGGTAGGGGTGGCTGGTGGGCATTTGAGTTGATCTGACCTGGGCTAATCTGTTTCTGCTTCCTCCAGCTATGACTGCAGTAATCCCCTCTTTGGTCAGACCATTAATCCATGGAAGTCCTCCAAGAGCCCAGGAGGTTCGTCAGGGGGTGAGGGAGCCCTCATTGGGTCCGGAGGCTCCCCCCTTGGCCTAGGCACTGACATTGGAGGCAGTATCCGCTTCCCTTCATCCTTCTGTGGCATCTGTGGCCTCAAGCCTACCGGAAATCGCCTTAGGTATGGTAGGTTTGGGAAGCTTCTGAGCCCTTTGCTGTGTGATCCTGGCCTAGCCTCCAACCTCTCTGGGCTACAGAGTTTGATGGGAGGAAGTGTTACCAGCCTTAGTCATGCAGGGTTCCTAGTTTCCAGTGCTGGGAGTTTGGAGCTGCCACATGCACTTGGAGTGGGCCGAGGGTAGCCACTTCCAGTTTCCAACATCTTGTGTTTCTTATCCAGCAAGAGTGGCCTGAAGGGCAGTGTCTATGGACAGGAGGCAGGTGAGGCTGTGGTGTCCTCTGTGCCCTGGTGGAGGGTGGTGGGGGTGTGTGTGTGTGACCTGATCCACCTCTGCCCCTGCTTCCCGGGTTGGTAATGTCTGACTGTCAGGCAACTCTTTGTCTTAAACTCCCGAGCCTTGACCCAGCCTGAGAACCCACTGGGGCCTTTGACCCTTCTTGCCCCTATTTCCTGCCCTACAGTGAAGCTCTCTGTTGGTCCCATGGCCCGGGATGTGGAGAGCCTGGCGCTGTGCATGCGAGCCTTGCTATGTGAGGACATGTTCCGTTTGGATCCCACCGTGCCCCCCCTGCCCTTCAGGGAAGAGGTGAGCAGGGGTGGGTGTGGCTGAAGGGGTGTGGACAGGCCCCAAGACCTCCTCTCCTGCAAACCCTAGAATCTGAAGCCAGGCTTCATTGCTATACCACAGTTTGCCACCAGGTGGCAGCCTTGCTTGGATTTGGAAATCTTCAGCTTTCCAGCCTTGCTGCTGGGAGTCAGGAGTAACTACTTTGAGTCTGAGAACTCCTTGGAAGAGAAGCCCTGTACCTGGGGTGTGTTTGTCTCCGAGTCATTAGCAGCCTTGATGACTGTACTCCTGTTCTTTTCTCCAGCAGTAGGATGCTTGGCATACAGGCCCAGTGAGTGGTAGACAAAGTGCGGGCTCCCCAAAATATCACAGAGACAGCCTGTTGGTCAGACAAAGTTGAGGTGGGGGAGTCTTTCCTCAACAGAACCTGAGCAGATTTCCTGCCATAGAGGGCAGGGAAGAGTGGGATCTAGCTTAGACAGGTCTTCTAATGTGAGTGTTGGCTGGGGTAAGGTAAAAATCACCAGCTAATAGTTAGGGATTGGGGACATAGAAAGGTAAGGCGCTGGAGGTACGAGGATCAAAGCCCTGGGGTGTCATTGTCCTTGGATGCTTTCTACAGAAGAATTGAAGACTGTTCAAGCATCAAGGAAGTTGATTGTATGTATAAAGTGTTTGGCAAAAGGCACACTAGATGGACCCAGACTGGAACAGGTGCCACATCAATGTGGTGTGTGAATTGTGTGATACAAGCTCTACTTCCTACTCTGCTGTTTCTTTTTCCCGTGCCTGCTTCTTGTCTCACCCCAGTAAATCCACCTTGAGTGGGCTGAGGGACCACGGGCAGGAGAGTAGACCAGATGTTCCTGGTGGGTGCGGCAGGTGGGCAGATTGGAGTAGGGTAGAGCAGGCTTTCCCTACTCAACCGATTAAACACTGCACCCTGAACTCCTTCCTTCCCAAGAGGGAGGAGAGCCCTGTCCAGAGGTCTGGAACAGTTTGTCATAGGAGCAGGGCAAGTAATGAACTTTAGCTCAGGAGACAGAATACCTGAGTTCAGACCTAACCTTGTTACTCTGTACCAAGTGTCTGGTCAGGTCCTAATCACACTCTGGGCTCTAGTCTCTAAGTAGTCCCAGTTTCTTCTTACGACCAATGGGGATCTTCTTCCTTTTCTTGCCACTTCACTGTGAAGGTGTTTTATGAAGGGGACAGATATGGAAGGTCCTGGCCTTGGTCGTGGTCCATTTTTTTTGGTGGGGGAGAGGGAGGGGGAGGAGGGGGTATGGTGTCAGAGGGATCCAGGTTGCAGCCTTGCAGCTCTGATTGAAGCTAAGTAGCTTTTCTGTCTCTAGGAGCTCTTCCTAGGCCATCCTCGCCTGACTCAGCCCTGCTCTGCCCTGCCCTGCCTCTTGTGTTTGCTCCCAGATCTACACAAGCTCCCGGCCCCTGAGAGTGGGATATTATGAGACTGACAACTATACCATGCCTAGCCCAGCCATGAAGCGGGCCTTGCTAGAGACCAAGCAGAGCCTTGAAGCTGCTGGCCACACGGTATGCTGGTGAGGGTTCAAAGTCCTGGTATCTCCTCTCCTCTAGGGAGAGGCTGCTTCCTCCAAGCCCCTCTCCTATTTAGTCATTTGTAACAAAAACCATGGCCTGGAGGAACCAGCATATGGAGGGATGTCTAGGAATATTAGGGCGAGCGGTGGGTGGAGAACTGGCCTGAACTAAGTGGCATATCAACACTGCATGAATGGGGGGCGGGGGGACACACGGCCATAAACAGAGGGTCTCAGGCCCCTGAGACTGTGGGACAGCTTTGTGTGTGATTCCAAATATCACTCGGGAGGGCCATTTTACAGGTGTTTTTCATGACTCAGTAAAGCTGCCTTTGTGGCTTTTGTGAAAGCGACCATGCAATGGGCAGGGTAGGTTTAGCCCCTACTCTGGGCCACCAGGGAAGCATGAGGCCCCACACATACTGGGGCCTTTACACTCTTACTCCCTGCAGCTGGTTCCCTTCTTGCCAAACAACATACCCCATGCTCTGGAGACCCTGGCGACAGGCGGGCTATTCAGTGATGGAGGCCACACCTTCCTGCAGAACTTGTGAGTGCTGTTGGGCTTCAGGGTATGTGGTAGGATCAGAAGTGGCCTGGACCTGGAGAGAGCATGTGGCCGTATGACTCCTGGGATGGGCCGTAGTCACAGCCTTCAGGGCGCCGACCTCGCTCTAATAGTGGTACGAATTAGGCCTGGAGATAGCTCACCAGGGAGGCTTTGGGAAGGTGCCAGCCCAAGGCTGGCAAGGGGGGAGTGGGTTGCACATTCCTAGCCCTACCTGAGCTGAACTTGTTTGTGTGTGTTGTGCGGGGAGATAGGGACTTCAGGGGGTTTTCTTCTGTCTAGAAAGATCCAGGATCAAGGCAGGAGGATGGGGGATATGCATCAGGCTGTGGTTCTGGCTCTGTTTGGCCTGAGCCAAGTCTTTCTTTTTGAACAATTTTCTTAGTTTTCTCTACTGTGAAGAGGGAAGGTTGAAGAAAACTTTCTTTAAGGGACTTATCAGAGCTCATGTTTTAAAAAGCTTGTTTTTTTTTTTTTTTTTGGGTCCGGTCGTGGGTCCTGAACTCTGGGCCTGGACCCTGTCCCTGAGCTTTTTTTGCTCAAGGCTAGCATTCTACCATTTGAGGTACAAGTTCCACTTCCAGCTTTTTTTGGTGCTTAAATGGAGATAAGAGTCTCACAGGCTTAACTGCCTGGGCTGGATTTGAACCGTGATCTTCAGATCTCAGCCTCCTGATAGCTAGGTTTGTAGGCGTGAACCACCAGCACCCAGTGTCTTTGGCTACTTTTTGTCATCAAAGGGGCAGACACAGACTTGTGAAGATAGCTTTTAGGGGGTATCTCTGGCCGGCGGAATGTGCCTCTCAGGCCATAAGCCTGCTTCCTCTAACTAGCTGTGGGGCAGCTTGACTCTTGCAGCTTTGCTCTATCATGGGCCCACCCTGTGGTATCCCCCAGCTGTCAAGTACGGTGGGCTTCAGTGGAGATGGCTACCTCTCACTCTGCCCTGGGAATGAAGCCCAGAGTTGGTCACTTGTGACTTCCTCCTTGATCTTGAGGCAAACGATGGGCAGCCCACTCCGAACAGTCCCACTTGAGCCTACAGGCTGGCATCAGTGCCAGTTGGTACCTACCCAGCATGAAGCCTAGGCAGGAAAGTGTTGCCCTTACTCCTTAAGACTCTGAGCTGGCTCTGCTGGAGAGGGAGATCCTGAACAGCCTTGGGGCCTCCAGTGAGTGGAGTTCAGGCACAAAAAGGTACAAACATTGAAAGGAGGTTAATGGAGGTGCTGGAGACCAGCATTTACTGGGTTCTGGTGGCGGGGTGTGGAGGAGATATAAAAGGAACTGGCAAGATTGGGAATGGGGTGCAGTGCTAAGCAGGAAGCGGGGGGGGGATGAAAGTGCCTCCACTCGCTCTTTTTTTGGGGGGGGGTCCAGTCGTGGGGCCTGAACTCTGGGCCTGGGCGCTGTCCCTCAGCTCTTCAGCTCAAGGCTAGCACTCTACCACTGAGCCACCTTCCCAGCCCTCCACTCGCTCTTTTATCTTCCAGCAAAGGTGATTTTGTGGACTCCTGCTTGGGGGACCTGATCCTAGTTCTGAAGCTGCCCACATGGCTTAAAGGGCTGCTGTCCTTCCTGCTGAAGCCTATGGTAAGGGAACAAGTTATTTGAGGCGCTGGGCTGGGTAGAGCCTGTAGGGTCCCCCATCCTGTGACACCTCATAGCCTCTGGCTCTTTGCTGCCTTCCTTACCCTCTTGGGTTAGGTAGGCATGGCTTCTTCTTCTCTCCACTCCTTCCCCAACTGCTCTCCTCCCCATCCCCTCCAGTTTTCAGACAACCTGCTTGCCAAAAGGGGTACACCCTGGGCCTTGGGGGACACAGGAGAAGGTGCGGGTGGCTGGCTGTGCCCCAAGCTGAGTCACTGATCCAGTGTCTGTTCCGGTGCAGCTCCCACGGTTGGCAAGCTTTCTCAGCAGCCTGAAACCTCGGTGAGTATCGATCCTGTGCCCAGATGCCTGGCCCTATTTTTCTCCAACCATTCTGAGTCTAGGTTGTTTCTGACAGGAAAAGCCCCAGGGAAAGAAGGTTCTGAGGTAGAAGTTGTTCAGGCAGGGGGCAACTTCTGAAGATGTTTTAGTAGGGTCCAGCTCTGGCTGGAAGGCAAGGGTTTAAGGAGGGAAGAAGATGACATTGGGCTTCAAGTATAGCTGAAGTGGTAGAGTTCTTGCCTTGCAAGTACAAGGCCCTTAGTTCAATCCTCAGTACCACCCAGATGGGAGACCAGATGGGCAGAGAACAATGGTCAGGGAGGAGTTGGGCAGGGGTGGTAGGGATGGTAGATACCGGGGAAACATGGAAGACTGTTAGGGATCTGAATTGAACTATGCTGTTCTATCTGCTCTTTAGGGACTCATGCTGGAGAAGCAGGGTACAAATCATCTTATTCCCAGGCTGGCATTCTGTGGACTGTCCTTTTCTCACCCCCAGGCATTCAGGACCTTTAACAGCACTGTCATTTCCTGTGTCCTGAGTAACAAAGAATCAGACCTGGTCTAGTACTACCTCTGCTCTGGAGTCACCCAGTGACTCGGCCTAAGTCTCTCTGGGGCCTGTGTTTCTCATGTGGCAGCAGGTCCTTGAACTGCTTGCTCTCTCAGCATTCCCATAGGGTGGAGGGAGATCTGGAAGTGGTGAGAATAGAGTGTATGACACTGCTAATGCCTGTGGCTGTGGCTCTGGTCATGGTGACCCTACTCCCTCTGCCTAGGTCGGCTGCAAAGCTCTGGGAACTGCAACATGAGATCCAGGTGAGGCCTGAGTCCCTCTAGTAGGGCTGGGCAGAGTGTGAAAGTTGGAGTTGTTTACTTTTTCTTTGTGGTCCTTTCTTTGTCCTGGTATTCTGGATGACCTGCCATTCCCCTCCCCCTCTCTGGATCACTGCTTGGACCCTGCTTTCTGACACTCATTTACTTCAGTGCCTGTCCTTAAGGGCTGAGTGAGCATGGCTCCTGCCCTGGCCATCTCTTTGCCCCTCTGGAGCTAACTATGGCCATGCAGTGCATGGCTTCCCCTTGGCAGGAAGTCACATCTGTAGTTCAGATGGAGGTTAATTATAGTGATATCCCTTAAAAGCGATGTTGCCGACCTGCCCTGAGGACCTCCATTCCTTGGGCTGGTAGCAGGTACTAGGGCCATAGCCACTCAGCCATTGTCTCTGCTCCTGACATGGTGGGTGTGAGTGCCTTCCCTGGCACAGGTGAGTGTCCCCTCCCTCAGGTGTACCGCAGCTCCGTGATCACTCAGTGGAGAGCACTGGACCTGGATGTGCTGCTGACCCCCATGCTTGGCCCTGCTCTAGACCTGAATGCTCCAGGCAGGGCCCCAGGTGAGCCCTCAAACACTCCTGCCCCTCCTCTTCTATGAGTTCTGCTCATGCCCGGTGGAGTTTCTGGGAAGTAGAGGAGAGGGAGCCCACCCCTGGGGGAGCACCAAGCCCTTTGTGGAGGGGCGGGGCATCACAGGGGAGTGGGCCCCAGAGATGAGATGGGAGATATTGGGATGCCCTGGGAGGGAAGCTCTGTTCAAATTGGGGATCTTGAATTAGAGAGTCTGTAGTTTGGGGAGGTAGGCTTTGAATCTAAATGATACTTGGGTAAGTCAAGAGAAAAAGAGTATTCCAGGTGGGGAAACTACATTGGTGAAGGCACAGGAGAAGAATCAGTGGATCTTTCAGAGATCCTAGGCTTTGTCACTCAAATCTCAGCCTGGGGAGTAGGCTTTTCCTGGCCGTGGGCAGATTGCCATTTTGAAGGGAGGGTAATGGTGGCTCGGGGAGGACAATGGGCCTGGCAGGGGGCAGAGTTTGCTGCAGCTGCAGTGCTGGGTTCCAGGGGCTGTCAGTTACACCATGCTGTACAACTGTCTGGACTTCCCTGCCGGGGTGGTACCAGTTACCACGGTGACAGCCGAGGATGATGCCCAGATGGAACACTATCAGGGATACTTTGGCGATATCTGGGACAAAATGCTGAAGAAGGTAAAGCTTGCTCACCTTCCAACTCATGCCCTTCCTGCCTGCTCCCCGGCCCCCCTCAGCTGTCGTTTTTGTTTTTTGTTTTTTTTTTGTTGGTTGTGGGTCTGAACTCTGGGCCTGGGCGCTGTCCCTCAGCTCTTCAAGCTCAAGGTTAGCCCTCTACCACTTGAGCCACAGTGCCACTTCCAGCTTTTTCTGCTTATGTAGTGCTGAAGAATTGAACCCAGGGCCTCATGCATGCAAGGCAAGCACTCTACCACTGAGCCACCTTCCCAGCCCACCCCCTCCACTGTCATGGGCAGGCCTCACCAGCCTTCCAGCAAGCCCCAAGCCTGTGGCAGCCTCTGTGCCCCCAGTCCTCAGTGCCTCGCCATCTGTGTTCTCTATAGGCCATGAAGAAGAGTGTGGGGCTGCCTGTGTCCGTGCAGTGTGTGGCTCTGCCCTGGCAGGAAGAAATGTGTCTGCGGTTGATGCGGGAGGTGGAGCAACTGATGACCCCGGAAAAGCGACTTTCTCCTCAGGAACACCTGCCTGCCTAGCTCCAGGCAACCTGGATCCCACATACTCCGTGGTCCAGCCTAGTTAGGCCACATTGCCACCCCACAAGCAAATGTTCAGCATGGGGGAAAGACTTCCATGCCCATCACCCTGACCCTCCTCTCCCCAAATTCTGGACCTTGCTCCCCTCTCCGACCCCTTACCCCATGTGACAGCCAGTACCTATGACATGGGCTAAGGCCCACCTACAGTGAAGAATCGGTTCCTTGTCTGTGCACTTTCTGGATGTTGCCATTCGGCTGCTGGGGGCTGGACCTGTTGGGAGCAGGGCTCTTTTCTTGCTGGGCATTAGCCTGGTTGTCCTGAGCACTGTCCCTGTTCTTTCTTGCTTTGCTCCCTTTCTCTGCCAACAGTGCCCTTTTCTGCTTTTGCATCACTCAACCCATTGAGGCCCAGCTTAGATCTTCCTCCAGAAGGTCTGCTGTCTTTCCTTTAGGCTATTTCCTGGCAGCCAGTAGTTTGTGTGATGCTACCTGAGCACACTTGCTCTCCCCAATGGCTACATCTTTGTCTTCCATGGACTGCAAAGGATCAGGAACGTGCCTGAATGGGCTGGGGTGTGGGGTGTGGGGTGAAGAGTTGAATGGACACAGCTGGCTCTAAGCTGGTGCTGTTGGGCAGAGAAGAGCTGGAGACAAGACAGTCATTTGACAGCATCTCACAGAGCCCACTGAGTCTGGATTGCTCTGGGAAGGCATCCTGGAGGAAAAGGACCTGTGCTGAAACTAGAAAATTCCTAGAGATTGAGATAAGAAATACTAAAAAAAAAAAAGGCATTCCAAAAAGAGACAGTTTTCCCAAAGACTATGGTGAGGGCAAGCATGTGGAATTGGTAGAGCAGAAGCAGAAATACAGGAGAGGCCAGATCAAGATGAACTTGGGGTCAGGAACTTGAACTCTTGTCTCATGGGAGATGAGGGCATTTGTAGGATCATGCACACTGGAGGAGCAAAGCGAAGGACATTGGGCCATGATTTGTAATCTACAGAGAGGCTGAAGTACTTGCCCAAGATTGAGAGGGGTTGTTTGGAACTGTTTTGGATTGGGATGGAGGTAAATTTGTGTCCTGTCCAGTCTGTCAGCTAACCTCTCATTGGACTGCATTGCCTGGTGGGTAAAAGGCAGTTAGTTTGTCATGGACTCTGGGTGTTTTTTGGGGGGGGTTCCTCTTTACATCTCTGGGGAGCTGGTAATATGTCAGTACCTAAGTCCTGGGGACAAGACAGCCCCTTGGCTCCCACCTGGCCTGATTTACAATCTCTCTCTCTCTCTTCCCCCATCTCTCCTTTCCTTCCCTCCCTCCCTCTCTTCCTCCTTTCTTTCTTCCTTCCTTCCTTCCTTCCTCCCTCCCTCCCTCCCTCTCTCCCACCTTCCTTCTTTCCTTCCTTCCTTCCTCCCTTCCTCCCTTCCTCCCTCCCTCCCTCCCTCCCTTCCTCCCTCCCTCTTTTTCTTTTCTATTCTATTCTTTTCTTTTTTTCCCCCTTCAGTTGTGGGGCTTGAACTCAGGGCCTGGCACCGTCCCTGAGCTTTTTTGCTCAATGCTAGCATTCTACCATTTTGAGACACAGAGCCACTTCTGGTTTTCTGGTGGTTAATTAGAGTCTCATGACGTTCTTGCCTGGGCTGGCTTCAAACCATGATCCTCAGATCTCAGCCTCCTGAGTAGCTAGGATTGCATTCTTTACAGAGCAAATAGTCTTCCAGGCTGACTTTCCTTCGCTGGAAGTGCTGTGTGCTCCAGGAAGTGGTATTTGCCACGGGGCACCTGCGCTATCCACCAGTGTTGTCTGTGTCTGGAAGGAGCCCATCTCAGGCAGACACCTCAGGCCTCATACCTTGGAGCTGACTCAGGAACCTGACATTGGGACATTTAGATTGAGACAATGTTGCCCTCATTCTTCCTGAGTGCTGTTGTAATTTTGCCTCTTATTCCATAGGCCCACCTCCCATCTGCCCTGGCCTCCTCCTTTTCCTGCTCCATTTCTCTTTCAGCTCCTGATACCCTTGTGCTTTCTGTTTGAAGGCTGTGGAGTGGCTATGCTGCTCCTTCATTTCTTTCCTGGTTCATTGGTTCATCCTTGGACCCTCAGCATGGCCACATCTATCTGGCCCTTTGCAGAGTTGAAATGGAGATCAGTATGAACCAAGTTTGGCTCCCAACCTGGGTCAGGTTGACACAAATGTACCTGTTTTCTGGTGATCAGGGCTGGAGGGAAAGATCAGTGCTGGGGGTGGTTGGGTGGGGGAGGAGGGGGTAGTTACTAAGGCACCTGCATCTACTGTGTTACATCTTCACCATTATGCACCTAGCCAGGCCACTTGTCCCATGCAGACGCTGTGCAAGCTTCCCAGCAGGGTTCCCTGTTTCCATCTTCCTTACCAGTCCCCAGATCCATTCTCTATAAGAAGTGTGTGATCTGATCCTCCAACGGTGTAAGTCAGATTAAGTTACTTCCTTTGCAAGGGTCAACAACCAGCAGCCACAGATAAAATCTATTTCCTTATATCTTACAACTCTGTGGGATGTGGTTCTTGCCTGCCTCTCCAGCCTCATGTTAGGGGTCTCTTTCTTTCATTCCCTGTGCTCTAGCCACATGAGTATCTTTGGTTTCTTAAGCATCTCAACTCAAGCTGGTCCTTTATTTATTTATTTATTTAGATCAGTTGTGGGGCTTGAACTTAGGGCCTGGGTGCTGTCCCTGAGCTCTTTCGCTCAAGACTCATGCTCTACCACTTTGAGTCATAGCTCCACTTCCAGTTTTCTGGTGGTTAATTGGAGATAAAGTCTCACTGCCAGGACTGGTTTTGACCTGTGATCCTCAGATCTCATCCTCCTGAGTAGTTAGGATTATAAATGTGAGCCACCAGTGCCCAGCTAAACAGTCCTTTAATCATAGCTTTAGTGTTGGGTCTTACTTTCTCTTAATTACCTGCTGGTAAAGCAGCCTCCTCTGTCACTTGTGTGTGTGTATACACCACTGGGGTTTGAACTCTGGGCCTCACACTTGCCAGGCAGGTGCTCTGACCACACTTAAAGTCTTTAATATAACCTGTGCCAAAGGCAGACTCGTTGCTGTGATGTCCAAGGCCGTGTTCTACCTGATTGGTATATGACAGTCTCAGCTCCTCTCCTTCCCAGTGCCACATCGGGGTCACCCCGCATTCAGGCAGCTCTATCTATGCACAACTCTGTGTACTGTGTGCCTCTCCAATCTCCATGCACCACACCCGGAATATTCTTTGTCTTTTGTGTGTGTGTGCCAGTCTTCAGGGCTTGCCCCTGAGCTTTTTTTGCTCATGGCTAGTGCTTTACTATTTGAGCACAGCTAATTGGCTAATTGGGCATAAGATTCTCCTAGATTTTCCTGCCCAGGCTGGCTTGGAACCTCGATCCTTAGATCTTAGTCTCCTGAGAGATGGCCACTGTATTTTTATTCATGAACAGATTTGGCCCTTCTTGATTACTTTGTTATCCTCCACAAGGAGTTTCTCAGCCTGTTCCTGGTCCTCCAACCTTTTTGCCCATATCTGATCTAGTGCTATAATTTTGATTAGTGTCCATAAGGAAAAATAGCTCTCAGTCTCTATCCAACTTAGAACTTTTTTTTTTTTTTTGGTCCAGTCGTGGGGCCTGAACTCTGGGCCTGGGCGCTGTCCCTCAGCTCTTCAGCTCAAGGCTAGCGCTCTACCACTTGAGCCACAATGCCACTTCCGGCTTTTTCTTTTTGCTTATGTGGTGCTGAGGAATCGAACCCAGGGCCTGAGGCATGTAAGGCAAGCGCTCTACCACTGAGCCACCTTCCCAGCCCCTAACTTAGAACTTTTTTCTGTCCTATAGATCTCCATCCACTTACTTTCTCCATACCTCCAAATCTTCTTTCCTCCCTCCCTCCATACCATAAACATTAAATTCCCCCCACAGTATGCTCAAGTTAACAAATCAGAAATAGTTCCTACTTGAATATAGCTTTTGTTCCACCGGAAAATACATAATTACCCCAAAACATGTCATAAATATAAGAAAGTTAAGTCTTGAGTATGATGTCAATAAACCCAGTGAGACTTGATGGGACCTGTGTACAAAGCTATCAAGGGATGCTTCCTGGACAAGGAAACATCACAGAAGTCAAGCAATGGCTGTGTTTTAAGACAAGAGAGCTGGGCGCTGGTGGCTCACACCTGTAATCCTAGCTACTCAGGAGGCTGAGATCTGAGGATCTCGGTTCAAAGCCAGCCTGGGCAGGAAAGTTCGTGAGACTCTCATCTCCAATAAACCACCAGGAAAGCAGAAGTGGCATGGTGGCGCAAGTGGTAGAGCGCTCGTCTTAAACTGAAAAGCTGAGGGATAGCACCCAGGCCCAGAGTTCAAACCCCAACCAAAAAAAAAAAAAAAAGACGGGAGTCAAACACTCAAGAAGCTCCTGGGGTGACCTGGACCCAAGACAGAGGAGAGAGTAGAACTTAAGAATCTTGGATGAGGGGGCGGTTGGGAAGGTGGCTCAGTGGTAGAGCGCTTGCCTTGCATGCATGAGGCCCTGGGGTTCAATTCCTCAGCACCACATAAGCAAAAAGAAAAAAACCGGAAGTGGTGCTGTGGCTCAAGTGGTAGAGTGCTAGCCTTGAGCTGAAGAGCTGAGGGACAGCGCCCAGGCCCAGAGTTCAGGCTCCATGACCGAATCCCCCCCCCCTCAAAAAAAAAAAAAAAGAACCTTGGATGGGAGCCAGGCACTGGTGGCTCACGCCTGTAATCCTAGCTACTTGGGAGGCAGAGTGAGATCTGAGAATCATGGTTCAAAGCCAGCCCAGGCAGAAAAGTCCATGAGGCTCATCTCCAATGAACTACCAGAAAACTGGAAGTGGCGCTGTGGCTCAAGTGGTAGAGCGCTTGCCTTGAGCTGAAGAGCTGAGGGATAGCGTCCAGGCCAGAGTTCAAGCCCCACAACTGACAAAAAAAAAAAAAAAAAGAGGCAGTTGCCATGGAAATAGATTGGAGAGGATCTTTTCCCCTACAGTGGAGAGGCTTAGCATGTCCAGTGCCAAGAGGAAGAGATATGTGGGGCATGGAGACAGGTAAAGGCAGGAGTGGAAGGCGACACCCACTATCTTTACTTCACTGAACAATTATCAGGCACCTACTCTCTGTCAGACATGTTGCAAAAGATCCTTGTATTGATGACATTTCTAGGGAGGGAAACAAGAAGTGAACGCATAGACATGTTACTTTCTACACCTAAGTGTGATGAAGTGCAGGGGAGGGATGTGGTAACAGGATTGTGCAACCCAAGGAAAGCTAAGATGCAACACCTAGGTGCTATGAGATACGGGCAGTTGCCACACGGACTGGAGAGCTGGGGGCATCTAGAAATAGCTAGGTCAGCGAGAATGGAGCAGGGCTGGGGAGAAAGGAAGGAGAAACAACCCCCCACCCCAAGATGGTAGAAGGATGAGAAGGAGGGACATGAAGACAGAGATGGAACCTGGGATTTGCTGTGTGGCTTGGAGGATATGACAACCCCTCTCTGGGCTTTGGCCTCCCCAGCTGCTGGAAGAAGGGAGGGCTCATGATATTTTAGGGTCCCTGGCTTTACTTAACAGTGTCAGACTCCTCTGGGAGTCGCAGGGGTGGGGGGTGGGGTTAGAGCCCCAAGTGCAGTCCCTTGCTCTGGAGATCCTGAGCGTCCTCTGCTGTCCCCTGGATGGTGATTGATGGCCCCAAGGGGCGGTTTCTCTGCCCAAGCTGCAGCAGTTACTGAGAACGTGTATTAATATTAATTGGGGCTAATTAGTTGGATAAATCAATCTGCCCCCAGAGAGCAGCTGCCCCTCCCTGGTTGATGAGGAGGAAGCCGGGGCTAATGGGGTCGCTGTGGCAAATCAGCATGATAGAGGGGGGGGGGCGGTGTGAGCGTGTGGAGTCCCATCTGTGGACAGTGGCCGCTTAGGTGCCTTTACGGTGACTGAGGGTCTGGTCGTATGTATCTCCTGCTGCTGTTTCTTTGTGTTGTGATTGGGTGCCTGTCTGGTGGTGTGTGTGCCTGGCTGGGTGTGCATATGTGTTATTCCTGGGTGAAGTACATACATCCTGATATGTGTGGCAGAGTGGGTACATGTGAGGTTCTGTGTCAGATACATG